CGGCAATGCAACGGTTGATGAGAGTGAGTTTTCTACTCTAGCCAAACATGTTGCTATGGCAACTAGCTGCAACAGTTGTGCGCCTAAATCTCTCATTCTTTCGCTCTCTCCACCGCTCTTTCTCGTCTGCTTCGCTTTCGGCAGTTCAGTATTAGTTTTTCTTTTCGACTGTGGTGTTGTTGCATCGCCGCTCGCCCTCCAGACTTTTATAGCAATTGGCAACTCGCACAGAATACGTAAAAAATCTGCTCTAACAGGCAAATGCCTAGTACAATGGGACTGAAATGTGCATGTGCGTGAGCGTGAGCGTGAGCATGTATGTGCAGATAAGATCTGGGATGATCTCTAATGTCAGCGCACGGTTGATGACAAAACTGATTACCAGCCGCAGATAAAACGGCTCGCTGTGAAAGACATAACAATAGATGCCAAGTGCGCGCTCGAGAAACCATTCACCATATTTTTTTTTGTTCACTACTCAGTTTAGTTTGTTGCTGCGTGTGCATCGCGCCGGTTGTGATTTACAGTTATTCGTGTGTCGCTCGCTGTTATCCTCTCCCTCTAACCAATTGCATTGCACTTGCGAGTTATGGAACTCGGATTGGCTTAGAAAGCGACAACTGTTGCCGAAGCCGTTACACAAAAGTCAGTTATCGATTGATTTCTTAACGGTTTCTTGCACACACACACACGCACATAAGCAAATGTCAGCTAATTGACATATTTTTGTTTTGTTTATGTGCATGTGCAACAGCATTGGCCGCATTTCTAGCCACCTGCGACAGGTAAGAAATTTTACCTCATTTACAAATATTTAAATAATAAAAGACAGTTGCACTTGTATTTGTTTTTTTTATAAATATTACTTTAAATTTGTATACTCTGTAACTTGTGTAAATATAAAGTTGTGCTTATGTGTGTGACCATTAAATTAGTTCTGTTTTAGATGAGGTTGATTTACGGGGCGTATGATAAATGGAGCATGTGATAAAGCGAAATAAATTTGCTTGGCAAAGATAAGAGCTGAGGAATGCAATTCTACAAACTGAATTAAAGAATATAAAGCAGATTAGCGAGATTATCAAAAGTAAGCAAAAGAAAAGCCAGACATATACCTTCATATAGATTAAAGATAGCGGGTTTATAGGTAGGAAAAATGGGAATGTGGAGAAAATGAAAAGATCATTTAGATAAACATAATATTTACATATTATTCCATTGCTATGCTCATATTTAGTCTATATGTATTACTCCCCTCTGAATGAATGTCATGGGATATCTTAAAGTGCAACGCCTTTCACTAGATTCCATTTACTTGGTGGTGCATGGCGCGCATGTTTATAGATTCCATTCGAAAGCAATTAAATCCAATTGAAAGGCATTTGGGATCGACTACAAAGAGATCGAATTTGACATTCTCCCCATTTCCTGATCGACGCTGCCATGCGAAAGGCACGCGAGCCACGCGAGATCCGATGCCACCTATGGCTGATGCTAATTCATTTGTTTGTTATTATTCTATTCGCATTCGACTAATAACAGTTATTTTCGTAAGTGTCCATCTCGTGTGTGACATAAAGTACATCTCCATGTATAAATAAATACATTTTTCGAGATCTTTCATAACCGTGTGAATAAAAAATAATGCTTGTAATTCACTTCTTTATTTATTTAACAATTAGTTAGCGCATTAATTGTTAATTCCTGAGCCCCGGCTATGACTGTGCATGATGCATGCGCAGTTAGCGACTGCTTATCCACTATCAACATTTATAATTACATTCCGAGTAACCAATTTTCTAATTTTCTAATATACATATATGTATGTATGCATGCTCTGCGCTATGCCAAGGAAACAAAGTTCAAAACATGCTAGCGATGCATACGCGAATCGAATCAACTCGACTCGATATGGAATTTCCCCTAGCCGGGCGACCTTTGGCGCCTGTTTGTTTGCTGTTCCTAATACTTGTTTACCTAGCAGGAAAAGGGTATATTGGGTTTTCTCTTGGTGTTTGCTTTACAAAATGTAAATTTAGGGTTTCCTATATACTATATATGAAAGCGATCTATGGCTTGAGTGCTTTAAATTTACATAATACTTGTTCCTATATTGCAAATGAGCATATTGGTTGTAGGAAGTATTCAACTGGATTTTTTAACTTCATTACCGATATTCAAATGAACGTTTTTCACTCAACATTTATTTATTTTCAATTTATATGCATAGTAAATAGTTTCAACTTTTATAAGAACTATTGAAGTATAATATAGGTATTATAATGATTTATGCATAAATTCTCATTATTTATATTCACCTATAAATCATCCATACTAAACTATTATTGGTTTGCTTCCACGTTAGGCAGTCTACACTGTGCACTCCATAAATCAAGAGTCTAAAGCTGTTATTTTCACTTTGAACGAGCATCGAGAAGTCGCTTGTCACTGTGACTCTCTAGTCGAGCCGCAATTTCCCTAACTGTAATCAGACACATGCTCATGGACGTGATTCGGCTTAAGTTTGACGCCTAATTAAAATACCAAATTTGCAACAATATCTAAACTATTAAACAGTTGTTTTTTTTGCCAAGATTTGCTTCACCTAGAACCAAAAGTGCATTTAGTTCATTTTTATTTAAAATTAAAACCTGATCTGGATTTGCAGCTGCAGAAGTTCATGAATCATCTACAAAATTTATGGCTCTCCCACTTTGTTTAATATTTTCGAGCAAAAGATATCAAATTTTTGTTTTGTTGACTTTTGCTTTTATCTTGGCACACATTTCCAAATGGGTTCGAGTAATCAATATTGCGGCCGTGTTACGGAGAGTCGCTTGCAACATCTCTTTATGAACTGTTAACAAGGCTTTTAAACAACATATTTTCGTGTTGTTGCTGATGATGTTGTTGATGTTGTTTACATCATCGTGGTTGTTCAATGATCATCATATCAATTTAATCTGAATAAGCATTTTACATACGCTAACAACCTGGCTTGTTTGTGCATTGAAGTCGCTACGGGGCTTCAAGTTTATCGAAAATTCAACTTGGGGCCCAAAGGTGTGCACTTAACAGAGTTAATTTGCCATTGTCTGAACAACTTTTTGTACTTCCCTATTTGAAAAGACTCTAAGTTTTCCTATATATGAATGTCTTCAAAGTAATTCTATTCCACTTTATTCTATTCCTCTTCAATTTGTAATCAAGGACCATTGTCTAAATCTCTTAACAATTTTCCGCTCATTTATGTCCAACTAATTTAGCCAAATTTACATGATTATCAGGTTAGAGTATTTTATCTTCGTCATGCCGAAGTTAATTGCTTGAGTTTAGACAAATTGCATTTGATGTTGTTTTGAATTTCAAGCTCGTCTCTCTTACCATTAAAGCTTGTCATGCGATCAGCTGCGCGTCGAAAGCTTTCGCTGAGCTTTCCTCTGCTGCACTCGCGCACCGTGGAACGTGTTTCGTTTCTTAACGTCAGTTGACATTTTCGCAATGAGTTTTATATAAAGATTATTTAACCATATATATTTACATGGCAAATCAGATTTCTTGACAATTAAAAAGTCACAAAGTGAATTGCACACAATTGTCTTATCTTAATATGACATTACAAATTTAGATATGACTAATTACAAAATAAAGTCAGTAACTGAAATAAAAAGTAATATAAATGCATGTTATATAATGTGTATAATGATAAAAACTAACTGATAAAATCTAGGCCCCCTTTGTACTAATTGGCCTTATTCGCATTTCCAATAAGAATATAAAAAATCCCCTCAACGACCACGCCTGTACGCTACCAGCGTAGATCGGCAAATTATTGTGCGGAGAGTGGGGTGAGGTCTGGCAACAACAAAGCAACGAAGCAGGCGCGAAGTTAACCGCAAAACGTTGTGCTTTTAATCAAAAGTTTTTATTGATTGGCGTCGCGCTTGAGGAAATTGTTAAATTCGCGCAAAATAATTTCCAAGCGAGTGTAGAGCGCGAGTGTGTAGAGAGCAAGTGCACGCGCGCGCGCCTCTACTCACACTCACACGCACTCTCGCACTCGCACACTCTGCCAATCACACAATCTCTACAAAACTCTACACTCTACAGGCAGAGACGGCACGAGCTTTGGCAGCGGCTTCGCGTGCCTTTTGTCCGCTTTTTGTGTTTTCAGTTTTCAGTTTTAAAGATCATTTCGTGGCGTTCGGTTCAGACTTTTGGGAGCGCACGCAGAAAGCGTTTGTGCCAAAGAGAGAGAGAGAGAGCGAGCGAGAGCGACAGTTAGTATAGGTAGAAGTCGATAATTATTTTGTGTACTTAAAGCATAAATAAACAACAAATTGAAACTGACTCAACTCTTGCCAAAACTTGCCAAAAACGAACAAAAAAAAACCCAATTTTCAATTCCGTCTTCGCATATCAATGTCAAGTGCTGTCCGCTCCATCGAATCCGGGGTCACAAGTGCTCAAGCGGCTGATTAACGTTCAATAGAAGCGAGCGCAAACAAAAACAAAAAAACAATAAGAAACTGCAAAACAAAAAAATAAAGACTAAAAAAGGTGGAACGGCGCGAAACACGTTTCGTGTTTGTGTTTTCCTAGCTGGACAAAAATAACAAAACAAAATAACTGAAATAATTGTCATTGTTGCCAGAAGAAAAACAAAAACAATAACAAAACGAATAGTAAATAGAAATAAACTAAATTAAATAAATAAATCAGCTTCTTGGCCAGACTACAGAGCGAGAAAGCAATACACAGAAGCACTTGTCAAGAGAGAAGAAGAGAGGGAGAGAGCGAAAGAGACATAGAGCGGGAGAGAGACAGAGACAAAGCGAGACGAGCCGAGGTTAAAGTTACCAAAGCGAACCTGATCTCAAAACTGAAGCAGCAGCAGCTCGGGAAGCGTAACGGCTCTGGCAGCTCTTACCAAATATGAGCATATGCTGTTAGCCAGGCTTTAGCTAACCACGTAATTCAAGCAGCCGTAACTTACCAGCAACAACAACAACACTATTATAGAATGGAGCGCTCGCAAAGCTGCAGCAATTTCGAAGGCGCGCCGGAGGCGTTGCACGCCTCTGTTGGTGTCAACAAGCCGCTAACCGGCAGCAGCGACAACCTGCCCCACAGACTTGCCAGCTGCAACCACAGCAGCCACATGTTGCCCAGTTTTCCGCCCAGCAAACCGTTGCGCAAACGCAAACGTCTACAACGCCAACAATCGATCATTGTCGATGATGATGCGGATGACGATGATCATGATCATCATGATCTGCTGAGCTGTGAGTGCGCCTATGCCGCCGATCTGGAGGAGAATGCCGATGGGGATCTGGAGATGTCGGAGCCAGTGGTCATGCCACGCCTGCCGCAGCGCCACATCTTGGCCAACAGCGGACGACAGCTGCGGCACGAGGAATCCTTCGACTCGAACAGCACGGCGCCCGAGATGAGTCCGCAGGCGGTGCGACAGCATCGCTTCAGCAGTCTGCTGCTGCGCGACAGCTCCGTCTCGATGCAGTCGGACTCGAGCCGCTATTCGAGCGTCGACAGTCTGCTGGAGTCGCGCAAACCCGATCCGGAGGCCATACTCATCAATCTGGGCTTCGGGCCCGTCGGCACCGAGGACATGCTCTCGCGCATACCCAAGCGTTTCCTCAAGCCCTCCAAGGTGCCGGGCATCGATACGGAGGCGTTCGTCAAGCGTCTGCAGCTGGCCAGTTCGCTGGCCGACTCCAGTGCCCTGGGCTATCGCGGACTCACCTCCAGCTCGGATCAGCCGCCCTCGTCGATTGTGGCCAAGATTATGGAACGCTTCGAGGTCAACAATCAGCGCAAACAGTCCATGGGCAATATTGAGCATACGATCAGATGAGACGCCGATTCAATACCAACTATCTATAACCATATGCATAATATAAATCCAATGAATATCTGAAATTGTGCAACCTAGGCTAAGTTACTAGTTATATCTACATACATAGCAGCCAGCGAGCGGGGTTTTACCCGACCTGCGGGAATTTTTCTATTATTAATGTACATTATTATTATATAAAGATAATATACTTTATTGTCATGTGATGTTTATCTTGTCCATTAGGTTTTAGTTGTGCCGCGTACTTAGCTTTGTCTATTGTTTTACCTACCGATTCGGGTTTATTTTTACTTAATATAATCTCAGTTTTAAGCCTAAAACTAAAATAATTATACAAATTGCCTTTCGATATATTTGAATGCGTTTTATTTATAGCATCGCCATACGAATGCATTTTCCAGAGCTGAACTTAACTGCGTTTTGTTATTGTTATTGAATCGTAAACTTTTGCAATGCAGTCATCAATTATCTCTCGTAATAAGCTCTCCATTTATAGATTCTTCGCTCTCTGGAACATTTGCTAAATATGGAATATTGCAATTATCAATTAAATTTATTGTTCTTTGTCTTAATCTTAGTCTAAGTCTTCTTGTTCTTGCTCATGAAATTTTCTTTGTTTCATTCTCAAAGATGATGCTTTCACTTTCCAGCAATACTTTTAGAACTCTTCTCTTCCAGCAATACTTTTAGAATTCTTCTCAGTCTTACTCAATCTGCGATTTGTCATCTCTTGAGGCTTTCTTTTTGCTACTGTATCCCTCCATTCACTTTGCATTGTGTTCTTAAAGGTTTGCGGCTTACTCTTATTTTTGTTTTTTTTTGTTTTTTTTTTTTTTAGCTTTTTTCCTTGTGTTTTATTCTGAAGCACTCAAGAACGAATGCGAATCACTAACACTCAGCCTTTGTCTTAGTCTTGTCTATGGCTTCCTCTGTGCTAGAGGCCATTCACTTTTTCTTCAATTCCTTACTATTTTACGGGTCTGAAACTATTTAGGCATATCTAGTTTTTTCTGGAATTATTCATTTTAAAATTTCCATATAGAAAGTATTTTCTTGTGGAAAAATTTACATTTTAATTTTTCTCTGTATCTCTTTTTTTACAACCTTCAGGGAAATAAATTCTTAAACGTTTTCAGGCCGTGCCTATAGCATATTTTCGTTTCAACACCTTTAGGTGTTAAAGCTTTCGTAAGTTCTATTCAATGTGAATCAATTTAGCGTGTTTTTGCTTAAGCGTTGCATTCTCAAACGTTTCTCACACAAGCGTCTATTCCACTTTCTCTTCTGCCCCTTTCTGCAGCCCTTTTTCATGCTCTGGGGTGTGACAAATTTCTATTTCGAGGCAAATTGCATTCTTCAACGTTTTCCACAATTCCCATTCTCGTAGGTTAATAAGCCAAACAAAAATGGCGAATGTTAGCTATATTTTAGATTATACATTAATTCTCGTTTAACTAGAGAAATCTGTTTAAATATCTAATAGATCTGTTTAAATATTTAACATCAACTTTCTAAAGCATGCCAAGAAACTGATCTATAGCTTGAGAAGTAAATAGACTTCTATTGACAACTGTTGCCACTTCAAACACCTAAATATATATTTCTATATTTATCTTTATCATTATCTCAGGCTTAGGGTTTTCATTTTTTTTATTGATTGGTTTGCATAAGGAGTAAATGTTATATTTAGAAACCGACGTCATAAGTCAGACAAAAAGTCAACAGAACTCATAGAAGCGGCAAACAAAATTCAATTGCGATAGAAGTCAAAGGAAAATAACAGCACAAAAAGGGCAAAGCTGGAGGTGTTTGACTAGAAGATACTCAGCACATGGAAAGTAGAAAGAGATGGGAAGAGAGAGAGACGTAGGAAGTGAAGGTGAATAAAAAAGAGAGGGAGAGAGAGATTAGATTGTAAATGAAAGAGAGAAAGATATGCAATGAAATAATCCAATCCAAGCTCTCTCTAGATCTCTCTCTCTCTCTCTCTCTCTCTCTCTCTCTCTCTCTCATTTCTGTAATTTACACTGTTCACGCTTATCATACTCTACTCTTGTAATTGTTACAGGGTATTTAAATAAACATGCACATTTTGCAAACAAATATTCAAAGACCTCCAACTTTTGTAGCTCGGCATATCTAATTGTGGTTGTTGTTTCATTGTTGTTTTTGCTGTTGTTGTTGTTGCTGTGTTATCGAAAGTACATTTTCTGAGTAGTTAAAAAGAAATACATCTATTATAAGCCCGTGACATATATATATATATATAGATATTACATACATAAATACTTAAATACATATTTATTCAACTCAAATATCAGATAAATCGCATCTCAGAAAATTGTCAAGCGTTTCCATTTGCCAGCTACTTTGAGGGCTAACAATTTGTTGTACTTGAGTTAAATTTATTGATTTCAATTGCTTTTAATTGTTGTCAGAGATGAAACAAAAGCAACGCAAAATAGACACAAGTGAAAGAAGAAGCAAAAGATTGAGGAAAAATAAGAAGCAAATGACATTTTTTTTTTGCTGCTGCCAGGCTCAATCTTTATCACGATCGAAGCGAATGCAATGGGTATTAGACTCTTTGAACTTTCAATAAATTAATTTTTTGTTTTTCACAAACAAAACGTCATAACGAGCCGCTGTTGGTAAATAGATAAGAATATGAATAATATATTTACGCACATACATATATAAATGAGTATAAATTTATGTATGTATTTATTCAGATAGATTTCGTAACACCTTGAAATTTGCGCTTTATTTAAGCAGTAAAAAGAAGAAACAAGTCAGCCGACGTTTTAGCTGGGTATGCTAGACTTACAAATACCCTATATATAGGGTTTAGCATTGAATGGCAACATATTCTATATATCTATAAGAGACATATATTTTAATCATAGATAGACTTAGCTACTCATAGAAATCAACAAAGTATCTGCCACGCCTTCATCTGCTAGTTACATGCATTGGCACAATAACAATATACCCCAAATACTAATATCTATAAAACAGGGTATACCGCTAGCATAGATATTGGTTATGAAGCGAAGGCGTCACATGACACGAGTTGGGTATTAGAATCTGTATCTGTATCTGTATCTGTATCTGTATCTGTATCTGTATCTGTATCT